GTCAAAGTTTGAATTACCATCCCTTAGAACGATTTGTAAGACTGGGTCTTTGCTCGTTATAGCACTGGTTCTTTCTTGGTTATTCTAAGATACTATCATATTCACCATTCCTTATCTCGTCATCCATTTTATTACCGCAACTGAGTCTTTCGCTACCATCTCTAAAATCCGACCATTTTACCATCATATTTACCACCTTAATATATCCATTTCTTACCCTTATCTTATGCAAGTTGTTTTGCTTCCTTCCTAGATCCACAATCAATCGATAAGGTGGAAACGCCTTACATCAAAACACATGTAAATTTTCTCTCTTAGTAAAAGATCTGCAGCAGTCCAGAGACGTAAGCAAAATTGATTGAACTCCGTTATCAATTTCGGGTATTATTTTTCTTCTTTTATTTCGCATTCTCACTAATCTGGTTATAAGGAAATTATGTGTACTCTGTTTATTTCCTAACAACTGGTATCAGAGCTTTTGGTTGTGAATTTTATCAATTTTTTATGAGGTTACTACTTATTATTATTCACATGAATAGTAAAAATTTTGTCGGCGGTACGAATTTGTCGACGGAGGTGTTCCTATACACAATGATTCGCAAGAATTGTCAGAAACGATCCAAACGAAGCCAGATTCGAGTGGGAGCGATGGCTGCAGACGAAGGGAATGTGAAAATTGAAAAGTTCGATGGTGCAGACTTTGGCTTTTGGAAGATGCAGATTGAAGATTTTCTGTACTAGAAAAATCTATATCAACCTCTCTCAAGAAAGCAACTAGAGGGCATGAAGAATGAAGAGTGACTTTTCTCGACAGACAAGCCCTCAGAGTTATCCGATTGATGTTATCCCGCAATGTTGCTTTCAACATAGTAAAGAAAAAGATCACGGCAGGTCTTATGGCGGCTCTCTCCAGTATGTATGAAAAGCTATCAGCCTCAAACAAGGTTCACTTGATGAGGCAATTATTCAATTTGCGGATGGCGAAAAGGGCTTCAGTGGCTCAACACTTGAATGAACTTAACACAATCGCAACCCAGTTGAGTTTCGTGGAAATTAAATTCGATGATGAAGTTCGAGCTTTAATTCTCTTATCATCTCTACCAGACAGTTGGAATGCTACTGTTACAACATTCAGCAGCTCGTCGAGAAATAGAAAATTAAAATTTGACGATGTTTGGGATCTAGTACTGAGCGAAGAAATTCGACGAAGAGAATCGGGTGAAGCATCAACCTCCTCAGCCTTGCACACGGAGTTCAAAGGGAGAACTTCAGAAAGAAATTCAAATCGTGGCATATCGAAATCCAGAAGGGGCAAATCCCTATTATAATTGTGGCAAGAATGACCACTTTAAAAGAGATTGTCGAGCATTGAAGAAAAATACCAGCGCACATGAATCTGCCAACGTGACAGAGGAGACATGTGATGCCATGATTCTAAGCGTCACAGTCCGATTGAATCATGGATCTTGGATTTAGGGGCATATTTTCACTCCACCCCATGCCAAGAAATCATGGAGAACTATGTCAGTGGTAATTTTGGGAGGGTTCATCTAGCTGATGATGAAACCTTGAAGATCGTCGGAAAAGGAGATATCCGACTAAAGTTGCCAAACCAGACCACTTGGACGCTGAAAGGAGTGAGACATATTCCTGGCCTCAAAAGAAATTTGATTTCTGTAGGACAACTTGATGGAGAAGGTTATAGTACAACTTTTTCAGGCTGTGAACGGAAGATTACCAAAGGAGCACTCGTTATTGCTCATGGTAAGAAGACTGGTACTCTCTATGTAACATCAAATTTAGAGAATATCATTGCTGCAACAGATGCTGATGGAAAATCAAACCTATGGCACCAAAGGGTTGGCCATATGAGCGAGAAAGGGATGAAGACATTTTTGTCAAAAGGGAAGCTGCTGGATCTAAAGAATATAGATGTCGGACTATGCGAGGATTGCATCTTTGGCAAACAAAAGAAAGTCAGTTTTGTAAAGATTGGCAAGACACCCAAGGCAGAAAAGTTTGAGTTAGTTCATACTGATGTATGGGGACCATCTCCAGTTCCATCTCTTGCAGGCTCATTATATTATGTCACCTTCATCGATGATTCTACGAGGAATGTGTGGGTTTATTTTCTGAAGAAGAAATCAGAAGTCTTTGATACCTTCAGAAAATGGAAAGCCATGGTGGAAAATGAGACTGGTTTGAAAGTCAAGCGGTTGAGGTCTGATAATGGAGGAGAGTACAAAAATAAAAGATTCAGAGATTTCTGCGCAAACAATGGGATAAAGATGGAGACAACAGTTCCCATGACACCGCAGCAGAATGGAGGAGCAGAACGTATGAACAAAACTCTGAATGAACGTGCTAGAAGCATGAGGATACATACTGGACTGCCCAAATTTCTATGGGCTGAAGCTATCAACACTGCAGCTTACCTGATCAACCGTGGGCCCTCAGTTCCTTTGGATGGCAGAATACCAAAGGAAGTTTGGAGCAAGAAAGAAATAAACCTTTCACACTTAAGAGTGTTTGGTTGTATTTCTTATATACACATAGATTCTGCTGAAAGAAGTGAACTTGATGCCAAGTCCAACAAATGCGTCTTTGTTGGTTATGGTGGTGATGAGTTCGGTTACCGATTTTGGGACTACGAAAATCGAAAGATCATCAGAAGCAGAGATGTCATTTTCAATGAGAATGTGATGTATAATGACAGGTCAACTGTAGAATCAAGTAGCTCCAATACCGAAGCTGAAACAAAGGAATTTGCTGAGTTCGAGGAGATTTCTAGAAATGATGTTTAGATCAATCCTGAAGTAGTTCAAGAAGAACCACACACACTAGAACTGAGACGCTTCTCTAGAATTCCTAAACCAACCCAACGGTATTCTCCTTCTTTGCACTACTTGTTGCTGACTAACAATGGTGAACCAAAGTGCTATGATGAAGCAATGAAAGTGGAGGATTCAGTCAAGTGGGAGTATTCCATGAAAGATGAGATGGACTCGCTTATGTCAAATCAGACGTGGGAATTAGCTGAATTACCACCAGGCAAGAAAGTGCTCCACAACAAGTGGATTTACAGGATCAAAGTAGAGCACGATGAGAGCAAACGCTACAAAGAAAGATTGGTTGTTAAAGGTTTTCAGCAAAAAGAATGTATTGACTACAGTGAAATTTTCTCTCCAGTCGTAAAACTGTCTACAATCAGACTGGTGTTGAAAATTGTAGTTGTAGAGAATTTACATCTTGAGCAGTTAGATGTAAAGACAACTTTCCTTCATGGTGATTTGGAGGAAGAAATCTATATGAGGCAGCCAGAAGGCTTCATAGAGGCAGGCAAGAAAAACCTGGTATGCAGGTTGAAGAAGAGCTTGTATGGTTTAAAACAAGCTCCTAGACAGTTGTACAAGAAGTTCGATAGCTTCATGAGTAGCAGTGGTTTTACCAAATGCCAAGCAGATCATTGTTACTACATCAAGAGGTTCGACAACGACTTCATTATTTTATTATTGTACGTTGATGACACGCTCGTTGCAGGCTCAGACATGCAGGAGATTATAAACTTGAAGGAAAAATTGTCGAAGCAGTTTGCTATGAAGGATTTGGGCGTTGCAAAACAGATTCTTGGGATGAGGATCAAGATAGACACAAAGTCTGGGACTTTGATGTTATCACAGGCTGAGTACATCATCAAAGTACTCTCCAGGTTCAACATGCAAGATACTAAACCAGTAAGTACACCTTTAGGTGTTCATTTCAGACTCTCCAAAGAACAGTCACCAAAGACGGAGGAAGAAAGTGCACACATGGTGAAGGTGTCGTACACCTCAGTAATTGGAAATCTGATGTATGCCATGGTTTGTACCAGACCAGATATTGCCCATGCAGTGGGAGCTGTTAGCAGGTACATGAATAATCCAGACAAAGTACATTGGGAAGTTGTCAAATGAATCCTCAGATATATGCGGGGTACTACAAACAAAGCACTTTGTTTCAAAGGTGGAGATACGATACTGACAGGCTATGTAGATGATGACTTAGCTAGAAATGTTGACATCAGAAGGAGTACTACAGGGTATGTCTATACTCTAGGAGGTACTGCAGTGAGTTGGGTTTCTCAACTACAGAAGATAATTGTTCTCTCCACAACTGAAGCATAATATGTTGCTGTTACGGAAGCCAACAAGGAGATGGTTTGGCTTCAAAGTTTCTTGGAAGAGTTAGGAAAAAAACAAGAAAACAATGTCTTGTATTATTACAGTCAAAGTGGTATCCATCTAGAAAAAAATATGTCTTTTCATTCCAGAATGAAGCACATACAATTGCGATATCATTTTATCCGGTCTCTTCTGGAAGATGGGATTTTGAAACTTGAAAAGATTAGTGGAGCTCAAAATTCGACAGACATGTTAACAAAGACGGTGACTACGGACAAACTGAAGTTGTGTTCAGCTTCAGTTGGCATGCTAGAGTAACAAGACCAGAAATGCTGTTACATTGATCGAGGTGTGAAGACAGATTAAAATCAGTCTTTAAGTGGGAGATTGTTGGAGAAAAGTCAAAGAAAGGGGCTGTATTTTTCAGCAAAATAAGGCCACCAAAATTCTAGAAATTCGGTGCAATAAATGAGCAGCTATTGTTGAAATAGAAATGGGAATATTGCAATTTTAGTCATTGCATTTTTTAGGGTATTTACAAGATTAGTCCCTAAGCTTCAACTATAAATACCCTAACTCATTTAACTTCAAAATCATCCTAAAATCATTTTCTTTCTCCCAATACTAGAGAGCTTCATTGTGAGTAGTGAGTGTTTTGTAAACACTTGTAAATTTTATCTCTTAGTAAAAGATCTACAGCAGTCCGGAGACGTAAGCAAAATTGGTTGAACTTCGTTATCAATTTCGGGTATTATTTTTCCGTTTTTATTTTGCATTCTCGCTAATCTGGTTATAGGGAAATTACTCATACTCTGTTTATTTCCCAACAAAAAAATGGTCGCAACATCGTACAATATTGAATTTGTAAATAAAGAGCTCACAATCACATCTGTGGACAAGATGGTTAATGATATGATTTAGATTCTAAAAGTTCCCAACCTCATTCATTTTTGCAGTTTTGCAGGTTGGGAATTTGTATTTACTAATTATTTCAGTATGCATGAGACTTACCTAAACATAAAAACCGCTTGCAGAAGGTCTACAACGAGTGCGGATGCACCTCCACCTCCGTTGCAAACACCACCAACTCCGTATTTCCTATTTCTCTGCTTCAAAATGCCTAAAAGTGCGACTAAGATACGGGCTCCACTGCAACCCAAAGGATATCCCAAGGATACAGCTCCACCGTTCACGTTAACCTTCTCCTGCAACCATTCAAGGAGGGGGGAAAACTTGAGGTTAAGAATGAAATAGCAACTTTCTTTTTGACAAATGCCAACTTGGGAACGGCCAAACGAGATACTTTACAGTAAGACATACTAGTTCTCTCTCTTTTACGTTTTAACTGGAAAATACATAAGCCAGATGCTTTTGAGAGATAGAAAACTCACTGGATTGAGGTCAAGCAGTTTCTGGTTTGCAAGAGCCACAACCTGCAGAGAGGGGCATTATTTCAAAACTGGCAACTTTATCAATAAGGGAATAATACATTTAGAAAAGGAAATGTTATCTTACAGCAAAGGCTTCATTGTTTTCATAGTAATCAATTTGAGAAGCTGCCAACCCAGCATTTGAAATGGCTTTGGGTATGGCAAGGGCTGCAGCTGTTGTAAAAAACTCTGGAACCTGGAAATCTTTCTCATGTAAGTAAAGAAGTTGTAGAACAATTAACATCGAAAGTAAATTCGACTTACTCGTCAAATAAGTTGTCCTGGGAAGCAAAAATATGAAATGTCATTTGAGAATATATTTTTTAAATATTTATTTATTTTAAATTCTTTTTTCACGTTTTTATTACGTTTCAAATGAAAATTGTATTTTACGGTATATTTATAAAAGTATAGATATCTATTCAAAAAATAAAAGTATATATATACCCTAAAAAATAAATGTATATATATTATTATTAGGTGAACTTGTGGAAATATTAAACTCATAACGTATAAGAGAGAAAATGTATCAAGGGAGAACTTTAAGTACATATTCTAGGGATTGTTGATAAAATAACAATAAGTTGATATCAAATAAAAAAAATTCAAAGAGCATTTTAGCCAAAATTGACTTAAATTTTGATGAGTCCAAGCAAAAAGATGATTTGGTATGAAGTAGAGTTTCGCCAAGGTACAAACGTAATTCACCAATACTTCATTATTTCATCATCTATTTATTTTATTATAAAACTTTGACTACGTTGATGTTAGTTAACCAAATGTCAATTTAATTAAAAGATTTTTTAATCTAAAATGTTATTATTGATGAAATTTAATTTATAATGTTAATATGAATGCTTGATATGAATTAGGTAAAAAGACATCCAAGGTTTCTGAAAAAATAAAACCAATGTGACATTCATCTTAGTTTTTGGATCAATGTAACTCTCAAACTCGAAAAAAGAACCTAGTGTGACCTTTTGACCAACGTTTTCCGTTATCGACAAACGGCTCCGTTAGTTCTTTCTGGGTAAATTACAACAATCATCAATCAACTATTTTCTTCTCTTCTATTTTGGGCACTAACTCTAAAAGTTTTTAATTTCGAAAACTCTAGAGAGTTCAGGGACTAAGGCTATAGTTAACCTGTCGTAACCGGTTTTCGTCCGGGCACGAATTTTTTACTTGGCGGGAAAAGTGATGTGAATAAAGGATTTTTTTAAATAATTTGGGAGTCGCCATCGGCCTTTTGGATCAGGTAGGTCAAATACCTAAAAATCATCCTTTAAAAGAGTTTTTCAGAAAACATCGATTAAAAGATAAACTGATCTGCGTTTTAACCAAAAATTCATTCTTTTTAATGATAAAAAGTGATTCGTGGTCGGTTACGTTTAGGGAATGATTAACACCCCTACAACGCCCAAAATTGGTACTTTATTAATTATAAATTGTCTCTATTATTAGAAATTTAAGAATTCAAAGATATATTTAATTTATAATTATGTTATTTCAAATTTTATTATTATAATTTTTAAGAAAATATATTAATTTAAATATATTTATAAAAATATTTATTTATTTAGAAATATCAGAAAAGGACTTCTAAGTACCTTAAGATAGCTCTTTTCTTCGATATTAAAAAAATAAATATTAAAATTTTAATAATTTAAATAAAACTAAATTATAATTTTTATAATGTTTAATTATTTAAAATACCAGAATAGGACATCCAGTTGTTTTAAGACTGCCCTTTTCTTTGATATTGAAAATAAATAAACATTATTATTTAAAAGAATGTAGATATATATTTATATGAATAAGATAATAATAATAAAATAATTATGAAAATAATAATTTAAACATATAAAATTAAAATATAAATAAACAATGAGTAAAATAAATAAAATTAAAATTAAATATAAAAAGTAATAAAACTTATAATTAAAATTGGTGACTAAATTATGACATATCAAGATTAAAAGCTCTAGTTTGAAATATTATGAAAACTAGGTGTTACTAATGTAATTAATCCTTAATTAATTAATTAGAGGTTAAAATAAAAGTTATTAAAGTTGTAAGGACTAAATACGGTATTTACCCTAAATATATATAAGTATACAGGCTATGACTAAATTATAAACTAAATAAAATTGAAAGACCGAATTAAAAGGTTCAAGATTTGATTTCAGTGACCAAAATGAAAAGTTACAAAACTGTGGTGGCAGCGGGTATAGTTTACCCACGCGAGAAATTACAGATATACCCCTTCCCCAAAACGGCGTCGTTTGGGGAAGGGTTTAAAAATCCCTTAAGGCCGGCCTTTAAGGTCAAGCTTCTCACTTTCATCTTTCCTCTTTTCTCTCTAGCTGAGAGAGAAGAAAAACTCTCTCGCCTCTCTCTAGTTTTCTGTCGCCGGCCGGCCACCACCAACGGCGCCGATCACCACCGCCGACCGCCACCAACGGTGGCCGGAATTCCCAAATTACCCTAGAGTGTAGATCTCGACCTCCTAAGGCCGAATATGGCCTTCGCTTGTCCTAAAACGCTTTAGATCGTTCTAGATCTAAAATAAATCGAAGGTTTTACCTTCGGTTTAACAACGATTCCGGTGGTTCCAAATGGTTTGGAGGCTTTTATGATGGTAAGATGCTCATTTTCCTCTTCTTTCTGATTATTGGGTGTCGATTTGTTCTCGTATTCTGCTCTCTATTTGGTTCACTGTTCTTGCCGTGGCTTTCTGTTTGTGTGTTGGTTGCCCCTCTGTTTTGGTTATCTCTGATTCTTCCTCTCTCCTCCCTTTTTTCAGGTTTGGTGGTGGCTTTTTATAGCCACCACAGTGCTCAGATCGGACCAGTCCAAAGAGGGAAGCTTCGGTGAGTCACCATAGCTATGGTGGTGACTCACCATAGGGCTTCAACGTGTGTGGCTTTGTGGTGTTTCTGGAGGCTTCTTTAAGGCGTGGCATCATGGCAACGGCGGGCTTAGACACCTGGTAGTGGAGGTGTCGGCAGTGAAGACGTGGGGCGGCTGGAACTCACTGGAAGCGGCGGTTGGGAGCTAGGTTTTGGAAACCCTAGCTGAAACCCTAAATTGGTTTAGGGTTTCCTTTTGGGTCTGGGCTGGTTTGTAATTATTATTATTTTTAATAATAATAATAATAATATAATAATAATAATAATAATATAATAATAATAATTATTATAATAATAATAATAAATAAATAAATGGTAAAAAAAATTAGTATCTTCAGCTGCCCCTCTTTGCTCATTTTTGTGTTAACAAGAATAGGGCAAAGACGAAAAGATAATAAATTTTTTTTATCCATTTGACTTCACTTGATTATGATGGCAATGTTGAATAATTTCTTCTTTGGGATTAGTTCTTCTAATTATGAACTTTTCCACTGGGGATGACAATTTATCTCCTTCTGTGATGTAATCTAGCAAAGGTTGCACAAGCTCTTCTCATTGTGAACTTCTTCTTCTTCAGATGAGTTCTTCTCATTGTGAACTTCTTCTGGAAATGCTGATGATGATATATCTCTTTCTGTGATAGAGTCATGCAAAATGTCGAACAAGCTCTTCTCATTATGAACTTCTTCTTCTTTCTTCAGATGAGTTCTTCTCATTATGAACTCTCTCTGGAAAAGTTGATCCATCGAATGATGAATTCGAGCGAAAAGTTGAACAAGTTCTTCTTATTATGAACTTCTTCTTCCTTCTTCAGATGAGTTCTTCTCATTATGAACTCTTTCACTGGGGATGCTGATGATGATATATCTCCTTCTGTGATAGTGTTATGCAAAAGGTTGAACAAGATCTTCTCATTATAAACTTCTTCTTCTTTCTTCAGATGAGTTCTTCTCATTATGAACTCTCTCTGGAAAAGTTGATCCATCGAGTGATGAATTCGAGCGAAAAGTTGAACAAGTTCTTCTTATTATGAACTTCTTCTTCTTTCTTCAGATGAGTTCTTCTCATTATGAACTTTCTTTGGAAAAGTTGATTCATCAAGTGATGGATTTGAGCAAAAGGTTGAACAAGCTCTTCTCATTATGAACTTCTTCTTCCTTCTTCAGATGAGTTCTTCTCATTATGAACTTTCTCTGGAAAAGTTGATCCATCAAGTGATGGATTTGAGCAAAAGGTTGAACAAGCTCTTCTCATTATGAACTTCTTCTTCCTTCTTCAGATGAGTTATTCTCATTATGAACTCGACCTGGTAATGCTGATCCATCAAATGATGAATTCAAGCGAAAAGTTGAACAAATTCTTCTCATTATGAACTTCTTCTTCCTTCTTGAGATGAGTTTTTCTCATTATGAACTCGACCTGGAAATGTTTTAAGAAAAAAACATTCTGCACTGTAGGGCTTAAAGCTGACCCGAAGGTTTTGAAAACATCAAAAAGCTCCCGAAGGCTTTTTGGAAACATCATGTACTGTAGGATTTACATATGTGAGAAATAGTTTACTAAGTAAGAAACTATGAAAATCGTCTTCTTACTATTCAACAATTTCTTTTTTAGAAAAGATTGAATGAGAAACTATGAAAACCGTTTTCTCATTATTTTTTAAAATAACATGTTGATTGGGTAACATGCCCCAATCTCAAGATAATGCTCACTCTTGCGGATTACGTTCATCTATTCTTCAGATGTTTGCGTGATTCCTATATTTGCGGTTTTGAATACCTTCTTCTTGTAAGGTATTTTTTTACCCTGAATCTTCTTGTTCTTCCGAAGATCTGTAAAACTTCATGTTTAAATGCACTCAGATGTATCAATGTAATGCATTGTCTATTGTGTAAATGATATTCTTATGAATGCATGAATGTTGATGCAATCTTCATTTGACTTCAAAGTGGTGAACTTGGTCTTTCTTCACTTCATCATTTATTGCCAGGGTTACCTCTGGATATCAGTGTAGAAACTTATGCTATCAAGCTTGCATTTCTGCAGAATCATCTGATCAACTTGTATCTTGGTGCCTTCTTTGCTTCATTTAAGTCTTAGAAGAAATGTTTCATTTATGGAACTCTTGTCGTAGTCAAAATTATGACCCTGATGCTCCATTTTGCCTTGGATAAAACCAACTTTATTTGCTTGGACTTGTGTATAAATCCCATAAAGCTTTCATATTTGAAAAGAGAATCTATCATCTTTAAAAAGAGAACCTATCATCTTTGAAGAGTGTAGATGT